CATATTTCCTAGCACTCCTGCAGGTCTCTATAGAAGAAAACTAGGAATGACTATGCCTCCAAAGACGTCAGGATAGTCTGACTGGTAGTTAATGGTTTACCTAGTTCTCTGGACACTCAGAAATATTTTAAAAATACATTAAACACCAGTAATTCCTTAAATTGTGCTTATGACCAAAAGCTGGTCTCCTAGCATTCTCTAGCATGCATGCTTTGATTTCTAAGATTTCTTACAGAATGAGAGGTCTAGAATATAATGTAAAATAAGTATAAACTTCATCTGAATATTTCAGAACAGAGCAGAAAACTACTTTTAGATAGATATATAGACCCCTTTCTGGAAGCCATGGAATTAATAGACTAACTCTGATGCTGTCCCATCCTACCCTAACTCCTAAATTCTCTAATTACAATTAAATCCCTCAAAGCATAAATACATTGTCAAAACTTACATTTCAATGAAGATTGAGCCAAAAGGTAAAATTCCTCCCAAGCAAACAATAACTGCAGGCTCCATAAACCTGGAAAATATTAAAATTAACATTAAAGTTCTAGCATGATTTTATGTTATATTATATAAAACCTGATAACAGAAAGATACTTGGTACTTAAAAATCTAAATGATAGAAACAAATCAGTAGAAGAAAAATTAAAATACAAAGAGGTACAACACAGAGGTGGGGCTTCAAATTAGTTCTAGATCAGAGTCAAAATTCTTTCCATCACTAAAGGCTGAGATAAGAATTTAGGAAACACAACTTCTTGCCAGTGAAACAACTCTAAGTCTTAAGATCCCTATCTCAATAATGTTTCCCAAACTGTGGCCTTGCCATTTCTTTGCTCAGTCTTTCATTGGTATAGTAATTCCTTTTGCTATGAATTATACCATGAAGACATTATGAGTTCTGCATTATAATGGAGACAAAGAATGAAAAAATTAAATTTCAAACCTCATTTATTCACTCAAAAAACATTTTACTATTTGCAATTGGTAATTCTCTACCTGGAATGCCTTATCTTGTCTCACACTTCCCTGCAAATATTAGCTTAAGTGTCCCTGTAACACCTTCTCTAAGTCTCCCAGGAAGAGGAGAGTCCTTCCACTATCCTTTGAATATAACTCCCCCACAGCAGTTAACACACTATACTGTGCCTGTCTAATGACATACATATCATACCTCACTGGACCATAAACTCTGGCAGGCAGAAGCTATTCAGCTAGGTATTCCCAGTGCCCAGCAGTACCTGGCACATAAATGGTACTAAACTAATATCTCTGGAATGAACAAACTAAAAAACTGAGAGGAAAATAAAAGAATTTGAGAGCTGGAAAAACTTAAAAATCATTTAATTTAGTCTTCTTTCCTCATTTTATAGAAAGTCAAGACCTATAGAGGTTAAAAATGATTTTCCCAGCCCTGGCCAGTGTAGCTCAGTGGTAGAGCATCGGCCCTTGGACCAAAGGGTGTCAGGTTCAATCCCTGGTCAAGGTCATGTATCTGGGTTGCAGGTTTGTTCCCTAGGGGGCACGTGTGGGAGGCAACCAATGGATGTGTCTCTCTCACATTGATGTGCCCCGTCCCCCCCTCTCTTTCTCCCCCTCCCTCCCTTCCATTCTTTCTAAAAATCAATTTTAAAAAAAAAATCCTCGGGTGAGGTTTAACAAAAAACAAAACAAAACAAAAATCTGCCCAAGATGATACAGTGAGAGCCAGATCTAGTCTTCAGATTTTGGTTCCCATGTGTCTATATAAAGCAAAAGAAAATATACACAAGCCTTCCTACACCTAAATTTAATCCATGGTTGACAAGGTCATGTGTTGTCCTTCCTCTCCTTCATTAGCCCTAGTGACCTAGAGAACCGTTTTGATTTCTGACTATGCTTTTCCTTTAAACTTATCCTCCCCAGTAAAAGGTGAACATCAGGATATCAATGGGCCTCAACAATCAAATTTGAAAAATATAGTTGAGTTATAAAACAGACTAGAAAATTCTCTTAAGACCAATCTTAGAAAAACTTCCCCAGTAATAGGTGAACATCAAGATATCAACGAGCCTTAACAATCAAATCTTTAAAATATAGCTGAGTTAAAAAACAGACTAGAAAATTCTTATAAGCCTAATCTAAAAAGAACAAGGATAATTACTAAGACTAGCACAGATGACTCTCCTTTAAACTATAGAAGCTATTTTATTCAGCCTTTCTTTCTATAAATGTCTACATTCCTCCAAGTCTACAAAACATTGTATAAGTACCTGAATATGTTACATTTATAATGTGGGAAATAGGAACAGAGGGTTCAATATATAACCTTATTATGAATATGTAGTCTTCTATACAGCAAATCTTATGAGCTGGGGGATGTAATAAATGTACAGTTAACACTCTCCTATTTTTATAGTAAGTAAGAATTAGGGAAAAAAGAATGCTGAACAGAATAAATCAATTTAATAAATATTAAATTTAAGATTATATTAATTATATATAATATTCAGCTTACTAATTTTAAGAGGAAAAATATATAAATGTTGAGTTCACATTATAATTACAAGAATTAGAAATATAAAGATATTAGTGGCATCTCATTTTATGTCTAAAATTTGAAAAAGTACAAATCATCTCAAATTAAAAATCATCAAGAATCATATTTTGAAGGCTGATTGGTCTATTAAACTGTAAACTATGTTTACTCTGTTGCAATTGAAGGTCTCTTCATCTGTTAAACAAAAATACTTGTCATCTTTTGTCAGGATTAATTTTGAATTACAGGAGGGCCTCAAGAACATAGCTTGTGCATACAATGTGACAGAATGTATTTGAGAGATTCTATGTATCCCAGAAATGAAGATAAAGACCGCAAGTCAGTAAACTACAATCAGTCTCAACCCTAATTCATCTCTCATTTGGTAGGATATATCTGGCTCTAAGTGTATACCAGTATTGTTTAGAATAATAAATAACCACAAAGGAAAATCAAATGATGAGGCATTGGCAAACTTTTTCTGTAAAGGTTCAGATAGTAAATACCTCAGGTTTTGCAAGTGATATGGTCTCAGATATAACTTTCTCAACTCTAATGCTGCATTGTAAAAGCAATCAGGGACAATATGTGAACGAACAGGCATGTTCCAACAAGACTTATTGTAATAAAAACAGCAGAAAGTCAAATTAGGCCTGTAGACTGCAGTTATACAACTGTTGCAGCTTTAATTCTCACCCACCCTTACACACAGTATACTTATCAAAGCATTTGACTTATCTGTAAATGGCACCAATATTCAGAAACTGAAATAAGGATAAAATGTATTACTACTTCTAACAAATAGGTTAAAGGAAAATGTAAAAAGACAAATTAAGTCAAAACTTAAGATAGTCATTCTTATAAAACAATCCAATTCCAAAGGTTGCATACATATAACAGCCTTAACAACTTCCATATTGTGAGAAACAGTCACATAAGATTTAGCATTTTCTTTACCATTTTTTCTCCGGTATGGGACGAGGCACAGCATTGACACGACAAGGAAAGTTGGGCTGACCTGACAGATTTCGGCCAAGTATTGTACCAACAAGATTTAGAGGAAGAATAACAAAAAAGCAGATGCAACAAACGGCCACCTGTAAATTAAATTAAAATGTATGTGATTACTCAGAACGATAACATTAATAAAAATAAATTAAAGGGATACAAAAATTTAAACACAACTTGATCACAAAAGAAATGTTTAGGTTCAATGTTTAGGGGAAGGAGACATATGTAATACTCTTTGTAATACTTTAAGCAATAAAACAAAATTTAACAAAAAACAAAAAAACAAATACCTGTAAGAAGCCTAACTTTATCAGATATCTTTGACATGCTAATAAGTAACTTTCATTCTGTTTCTTAGGCCACTTTGGTGCTATAATAGAAGAAACACTGGATTTGAAATTAAAAACTTATTGTTTTCTTTTTCTTGGGATAAATACCCAGAAGTGAAATTGCTGGATCATATGATAGTTCTATTTTTAATTTCTTAAGGAACCTCCATACTGTTTTCCATAGTGGTTGACTCTGTAAAGCACCAGTATATCTGTGTTTTAATGTATTTAAATAATTCAAAAAATTTCAAAGTCTGACTACAGGTAAGGATATGTGAAAAGATTTTAATATTGGTAATATGTTAATATAAATGCTTAATGAGGTTCTAAAAACAGTACAGTTCCTGAAAACAAAAAAAGTTATGAAGAAGCTTCGCTTCCTACCACTACACTCACCTATCGTTTAAAACATCCATGTTTCTTGATATGTTATTCTTTCTCTGAAATATATTCACCAGTTCCACCCATCTCTTAAAAAAAATTACTGTGTCCTCTGTGTCATACTTAAGAGATAGACTTTCACTTGTTTTTTAAATCCTCACCCAAATATATATTTTTATTGATGAGAGAAGGAAACATCAATCGGTTGCTCCCCAATCTGAGATCGAACCTGCAAACCAGGTATGTGCCTCGATCAGGAATCGAACCTGCAACCTTTTGGTGTACAGGATGATGGTCCAACCAAATGAGCCACCCGGCTAGGGTGACAGACTTACTGGCTCACAGAATCAAGAAAAAAAAGGGCAACTGTATTTTTAAAGTTAACAAGAACTATGTGAAGACTAAAAGAACTTTCTTCTTCACCTAACTTTCTAGGACTGAGTAAAGACTGGCTGTAACTATTAAAACTCATTAAGAAGCACTTTGGAGCCCTATCCGGTTTGGCTCAGTGGATAGAGCGTCAGCCTGCGGCCTGAAAGGTCCCAGGTTCAATTCCAGTCAAGGGCACATGGCGAGGTAGCAGGCTCAATTCCCAGTGGGAGGCTTACAGAAGGCAGCCGATCAATGATTCTTTCTCATCATTGATGTTTCTATCTCTCTCTCCCTCTCCCTTCCTCTCTGAAATCAATAAAAATATATATATTTTTTTTAAAAAAAATAAGTACTTTGGAGAGATTTCAGGCCTCATATTAAAATGCTTATACTTTTTCAGTTTAAAAGTATGACTCAAGCAACCTACCATTGTTCCAAAAGGAATGGCTCTTGAAGCATGGTAATAAATGGCTATAAAATTGATGAAGAAGGCAGTACCACACACCATAGCTGGGATAAGGAATGCCCCAATAAACATCTGCTTTATCCATCTCCTTCCTGGAAGAGAAGGGAAACTATGAAAATCAAAGATATAGACATTATATATTAATAGTTAAGAGCTGATTATTTAGTTCCTAATTTGACTTCCTAATAACTATTTCAAAGCAATAGCTAGTAAAGACCAGTCTGGCTATTCAAGTGCACCTAATGGAAATGCAGTTTTTGAAGAGGGTGTACTGGAAAAGAGCAATGAAGTAGTAAAATATTCTTATGTTTTGTCTTGATTCTGCTACTGATCTGCTGTGAACTTTGGTAAGCCACTCAATCGTTCAGGGATATAAGTTGGCTTAGAAGGGTGTTTTCAAACTGTTGCTTAGAGTTCTGGAGCTTCTTGTAGGTGCCAATGGACTCACTGGTGAAAAAAGAGCCCAGGTCACCAAGCCCTGCTTCAACCAGAATAAGTTCAATTTTACAGTTTTACACATTGGGGTTTCAGGGAAGCTTCATTGGGAAAGAGGGCTGCACTGCTTTAAAAAAATAAAAATAAAAAAACCCTAGGTTAAACAGTCCCTAAATTTACTCTTAGCTCTGCTGACATTGCTTAGGATGGGCTGGGAAAAATCACATTAGGAAGTCTTATCCTTAGGAATGTGATCTTAAGGTCCTTCAGTCATAACCTGAACTATCCAAATCTACTACTTTCAGCACATTTCTGACCTTTACAATTACAGGGAAAACAAATAACCCAAGGACCCTTAAATGCCATCATAGAAAGAAACAGCAAAAATCAAGTACCCTTGTATCACCCATGTATCCCCCATCATTCCAGGTCACAAAACAAACAAGGGAGTATTTAAAATAAAAGTGCTCATAAGCAAAAGACTGTGACACAGAATAACAGAAATCTTTGTGCAGGGTCCTTTGATAAACATTTAAGAGTCAACAGAAATAAAGAGCTCTACTTCCTATTCTCTTTCCACTGTCCACACTTTATCCATAAACCATAAAACATGCCTTTATATTCAACTATAAAGCTATAAACTCTATGTGGAGGCCTCCCATGGAGCACATGTAGGGAGCTAGGCACCTCAAAGTAAAATAATATCAATAACTTATATATACTTTTTACTACATGTTCCTCAGACCTAACTACTTAGTAAGCAATGGAAAGAATCTATTCATTGTTCACAATTTTAGAAAATAAAATGCAAGGAGGACCCATAAAGGCAAGATAGAACACATAATAGGTTTGAAGGAGATTATGTGAAATGGGATAGCAAAGAATTTTACAATGCCTGTATTGCCTGTTTTAAGTTTGAAATACCTCACCATAAAATATTAGCATCTATAATTAAAAAAACAAAGTGATAACTCTTAGTTACCTCCTTGTCTCGCATACAAACTTCCTCCAAAATAACCATTCACTGGAGACGTAGCAGCATAGACAAATATGGCTGTACTGAGCATTGATCCCCTCCTAAGAAGGTGAAAAGATGTGTAAGATAAATTAAAACCAACAACTTGAAGAACATATCATATAACCTATCACATTAAGATCGGTTTAATTTCAAAGTTAAATTTAACAGGAACACAAAAATATCATCCTGGGTCCTGGCTGGGTAGCTCAGTTGGTTAGAGCATTATCCTGATAACACCAAGGTTGCGGGGGTTCGATCCCTGGTCAGGATACACACAAGAATCAACCAATGAATGAACAAATGGGTGGAGCAACAAATCGATGTCTGTTTGTCTCTGTCTCCACCACTCCCCCCGCCCCTCTCTAAAAATCAATCAATAAAAACATAAATACCATCCTGGACTGCAAAGGACCTCAAAAGATTGCCTAGTGAATGAATTTCCAGTTAAAATTACACTTAAATGGTACAGGATGATGATCCTCATTTTTTTTAAAACTGCAGTAAATTTCATAATATATTCTAAAGAAATACAGGGAGGGAAAAAAACGGGTTTATAGTTGTTTATATGGAAAATAATACAATTAATACATGAAAAAACTTTCATGAACTCAACTGTAAACCTACATTTGCCAACCCTGTATATTATATTTCTTTGGCAAATATTAGAAGCTGGCACTAAAACTGTTTTTGCAACCCTGTGAGCCAATCACATCATATGGAAAAGGATATTCACCTGTTAAGAAAAATAATTAGAATACTCCTCTTTATAATTTAACTGCTTAAGTTTCTTGCCTGCTGACAGAAATATAACATAAGTAGTATAATCTATTACATTATTGTTATTACTTTAAATGGTATAACAATGAGACTTTTTTTATTTAGTTTTCCTTATACAGTTAAAATCTGCATTGGTCCACAAATCAACTTCATTCAGTTCAACAATTTCTAACCTCCCCTTACAATAATGATATCTAAGATATTCAGACCAACCCTCTTGAGTAAAACTAGACAAAATTTTTTAAATGCCTAATTGCAAAGAGAAAAATTAAATTAAGTGACAGTATCACTTGACATAACACAGAAATGTATTTAACCCACTAACAATAAATACCATTTCTGAAACTCACTATAACTAGGAAGGCAAAATATGTTCTATATATAGAAAATATTAGAAGTACTGTGAAAACCTTGTGCTTCTCATGAAGATCTAACTGGATCTTCGGCTTTAAAAAAAAATGCCTTATACACTTTGTCAAATAGTTCTGGACTACAAGTAACTCTCTCATACCTCTAATGGGACATAATCTTTATTAACCAACCAAAATGTTCAGTAAGGCTAGTAAGTTTTAGCATTTAACAGAAAAATATACTTATACATGAAAATTACTGTTCATTATTTAATTTGTCTCAATAATGACATTTATGCTATTTAAATTCTAAGAATTGTAATAAGCAAATATTTAATTATGACTGACTTTTTAAAAGGTTCCAATTATTAAAATAATTCAAGAGCAACAAAAAGTAATAAAGTACAATCACTTACTCTGTATATAAATCTTCTATCATTGCAACAATAATAACAATGAAAGAAACAGCAAATATCTGACATCCAGAACCAATGAGAGAGGAAAATATCAGTGGGTGACTTGATGGTCTAAATACATCGCCATGCACCTGCTTCCATCCATATTCATCTCCTAGGTCTCTATCCTAAATACATAAATATGTAGACAGAAGAGAAAAATCATTCAGAATGAAAATACAGAAAATAAGTGAAAATTATAATTAGAATTGTAAGTTTCCTCTCTCCAAACTTACAGCTATTTAAAGGTGTTCAACATATCAAGAAAAGAAATGTCAAATTTAAAATAATCACTGCCTTAATAACTTTTACTGAGGTCCAGAAAGGTGCTTTCTGATTCTGCTCCGAGAAATATCAAAGAATGAAAAAAGAAAATAGTCTACAGCAAAAAGAAATGGTGAAATTGGGAGAATAGCACACTGACTCTCTTAACATCACTTTCAGACACTACTCTTGCCATTTGCATCACGACTGTGGCTCATATGTGACCAGGGGCCAGGTGGAAAAGAAGAAGAGTATCAAAACCAGTACTAGATGCCCTAACAGTACAGAAATGTCCTTAATAGCCTGGAATCTAAGAAAACATATGGGGAAAATATTGAACAGTTGAATAATAATTTTTTTAAATAAATGGTATTTTTAAGATACTCTGTTTTTCCTTATATTTCCTTATTTTTACTGTTGACAATATTACAGATATCTTCCATTTTTTCCCTTTTTTCCCCACCTCTACCCAACCTTCACCCCACCTCAGACCTTCCCCATGCTATTATCTGTATCTATGAATTATGCATATATGTTCTTTGGTTAATTTTCTTTCCAACCTGAGTAAACAAGTATCTAAAACAATGTTTTTAAAGAAATAACAGCCCCTCAGGATAATCTGATTTTGTGGGGAGAGATCCTGGTCAGATATGTTTGAGAAGCACCAAATATTTTATCTACCCTCTGATACTTCACAATGCACATTAGCATATTAAAATTTAAATCTCTTTAACTGTTTCCCAACTTATTTAATGATGGAGCATATCTTCATAGAACAGCCATTAACATCCTACAGAATACATTTTTTCTCACTTACAATATCTATATCTATCTATCTATCTATCTATCTATCTATCTATGGCTAAGCAACCATCCAACCGGTAGCTATGATGCGCAATGACAACCAGGGGGTAGATGCTCTGACCGGTAGCTATGATGCTCACTGACCACCAGGGGGCAGACACTCAAGGCAGGAGCTGCCGAGCTGCAGTGACTTGGCAGCGGCAGTTCGGTTCTCAGGTGGCGCACCATGGGGTTCCAGGATGAGTCACCCGAGAACTGCCCTCTTGCAATCTGCAATCCGGGACCCCTCAGAGGATGTTGGAAAGCCGGTTTTGGCCTGATCCCTGCAGGCCAGGCCAAGGGCCACCTGCTGGAGGGACCCCACTCACCCTGCAGACGCCCTTTGATCCGAGGTGCCGCCCAGGTGCAGCTGGCCGGGGCAGGACCATGGGAGGTTGGCTCCAGGGCGTGTCTGGCCCGTCTCACTGAGTCCCGCCCCACTGGCCACCTTCTAATTAATTTCCTTTCAATGTGCACAAATCCGTGCACTGGGGCACTAGTTGGTCTGTAATTTTGTAAAAATATTTAGAAAACAAACACCTCCCTATTGATGTAGTCCCATTTGTTTTAAACTAAATGTAAATTAATACTTTTGCCAACTTCCTGAACTGTATACAATATTTAATAGTATTAGAAAAACACCAACACAGATCTACAACCTCCTTGTTGCAATTTTTAAATCAAAAGCTCTGAAAACTGAGTTTGTTTCATAAATTTGGCATATCCTTATTTTGAGGCAAAACTCGGACTGAATTAACAATGGGTTATTTATACTGTTTATCCCACCTAGGGTGAACATTCATATGTTTTGCTGAAAAAAAATTAAGATTCGATTAGAGATCTCCGCCAAGAGTTTACACCTTTCTAAAACCTGAAAATTCTGAATTCTGAAACTTACCTGACCTCAATATTGTGGACCTACTATCCAACATTCAAAACACAGTAATATTGCCCTAACCGGTTTGGCTCAGCGGATAGAGCGTCGGCCTGCGGACTCAAGGGTCCCAGGTTCAATTCCGGTCAAGGGCATGTACCTTGGTTGCGGCCACATCCCCAGTAGGGGGTGTGCAAGAGGCAGCTGATCAATGTTTCTCTCTCATCGATGTTTCTAACTCTCTATCCCTCTCCCCTCCTCTCTGTAAAAAATCAATAAAATATATTTTAAAAAAAACAAAAACAAAACACAGTAATATTGAGTTAATTTGTTTTTATAAGTACAATATAAAATGTATGCTCACCATGTCATCCATTTCTTCTTCTTTACTGTACCGAGCATAATCTTTTCTTAAAGTTCTCATTAAAATCATTGAAACTAATCCCACCAAGAAGATAACCATCATGAAGGAGTTGAAAATTGAAAACCAATGAATCTAAAAAGAACAGAAAATATTACTTACATAAAAATAGCAGTCACAAAATTCACAGGTCCCATGAAGACCATGGAATGCTAATACAAAAAAAATTTTTTTAATTTTTACATAAAAATCTAAACTTCAGACACACTGGGGATGAGTATTCACTATACAATGGAATTTGTTTTCAGTAAGTTTCAGATACACTAAGAACATGATATTGTTCATTGAGATTTTCACAATCAAATTTATTATACAAATAAAGTATAATTTGGCTTTAAAACATAGACTAGTCAGCATTACAGAGAAGAACCTGGAGCTTTAAAGTCAAACAGACCTGGGTAGTTCAGGCTCTGCCAATTTCTAGCATGTGACCCCAATATCCCTATAAATGAAGAAAATAATACTATCTCGTAATCTGTATGGTTTAATAACATGTAAAAAGTATGGCACCATGTCTGGCATAGAGCAATGAATGATAAATGTTAGTTTCCTTCCCTCTAACTGAGCAACAATCTGAAAATCTCCTTTGAATACCAAGATTAAACCGTCATAGTTGGTGGGCATGGAGGTAGGCCACCTTCCTGAATCATCTGCTTCACTTTCAGTTTGTCCTCTCACTCTGCTGCCATCATTATTCACTCCTTTCCAAATTAGCTCTCCATGGTGCAGAGAACACTAAGGTACCCCATAGTTTCATAATGTTCCCAAGGCTCTTGACTTTGATTTCACTCACACATTTGTCACAAAATTATGTTCACATCCTGATTCATATAATCACAAGGTACTACTGTATCTCTGAGTGCCTCTCAGAACTGAGTGCATCTGGCTTCCACTAGGTCTGGAGCACTGTCCAGTAATTCCTTTACATTTCAATTCACAAAATAGAAAAGATTCAAGGCCCCAATTTCATTTATTTTTTTTTGTATTTATCCTCCTAGCCTTTTATTCCTCCTGTCAATCTCCTAGAAATTGTTTCTCCTCATACACCACTCCTCTCATTTTGAACCCCAAAACTTACACCTTTCTCCCCACCATCAGTAATCTCCAAAGGTCCCTATCTAAAATAGTACCTACTACCTGGGATTGTTATTTGTTTTAAGCAAGATAATGAATGTAAAGCATATAGCATAGTGCCTGACATATAGTAAAACACTAAAAAAATTTTAAGTTGTTATTACTATTATCTTTTAAAGTGTTTGCTTGATCTTTTGTCTACTCACTGTTTCAATCTTTTTACCTCCCTCCTTTCAATGGCAACACTTTTCAAATGAGACTACAGGTCCTACTTCCCTCACTTACTCCTAAACACAATGCCATCACACTTTGTCCCACAAAATTTCTCTCAAAGATCTGCAATGAACATCTAAGTCAATTCAGTGATCCAGAGGTCAATTAGTTGCCCCCACTCTCCTTGCTCTCCCTGCCATGTTTGATCTTTGCTGACACTATGCCATCCTACTTCACTGACTGCTGCTTCTCCTCTTTCATCCTTGATGCCGGCTCCTCCCACCTTTGTGAACTTTTCCAAAAGCTTCAGTCTTGGTACTCAGCAGAGACTTCCTGGGGCTCTCAGAACTTTTAACTAGAATTCCAATGATGATGGTAACACCCTCTGCCACCTACCCTACCCCGCCCCAAATCTCTAGCTCTCTTTCTCCCATTCATGTTTCAGACTTTAGCTAATTCTGATCATTTCCACTTGAATGTCTTTCTGGAATTTCAGACTGCCCTAAAATAAACTATTAATCTTCCGCCTCACATATAACAACTCTCTTCTGACTTCTAACTTCTACTAATGGTACTAACATTTGGCTTTGAGAATCTGAAATTATCTCTGGTTCTTCCTTCTCCTTAATCCTTCCTTGGTAATAATTACTAGCCCCCTTTTTTTTTTTTTTAAACTTTGGAATGTCTCTTGTATCTAACCCTTCCTCTCCATTCCCATGTCATCCCCTCACACCCTGATAATTCTAGTGGCCTCCTAGTTGGCCTTCTTTATTTTTGGTCTCTCCCCTTCCTTTCAAACTGTTCTATAAAAAGTTACCCAGTGAATTTTTCTGAAACATCATGTTCATATATCACTGCTCTAAAACTTATAGTGACTCCCTATTTTCTCACATATCAAATGTAAGCTATTTCCCTAATATTCTGTACCCTTTGTAATATGGCCACCTCACTTTATTTAGCCAACCTTTCTTTCCATTGTATCCTATATTCCAATCAGGCCTATTCTTCCTCAGTGACCCACAAGTACAGCATACTCATTTCCACCTATGTAGCCTTCTCATAATTCCTTTCACATGGGATCTACTTCTGTCCACATTTGAAAATTCTACTACCGTTTAAAGCCCAACTCAACAACCCTTTCTTCCATACAATCTCTCATTGACATAGTCTAGTTATTCATAGACATACTCCTGCTCCAAACTTTTGCAAGTACATACATAGACTTTTTAACATGAAGAAGGCACTGTCTTCTATAATTAGGATAGATTTTAACTGGGGGTAATCTGCTGAGTTGTGCACTAGTGTGAAAGACAGTCCTGGCTGTTACCCACCCTGAGGATTCAGGCAAGTGACAACTCTATGGCTCTCCCCGAAAAACAGGAGACAGCCAACTGCCTCTGCCTCTTCATGAGATCTCTTTCTTCATTCAACAATTTAATGTATACTTGCTGATATTATAAAGAAAATAATGAATGCATTATATTTTGAAATATTTGCAAAAAAAAGTTACATAAACTTAAGTTTATCACAAAAGTATCATTCAAAATTTATAAAAGCAGCCTATAATTATAGCCTTTTCCAAAGATTTTATTTTGTTCCCACCCTGGGAAATTAATGACCCAAAAAAAGACAAAAGAAAAAAGATGATCTTATTATACTGCTAATATTTCTAACAAAACTCTGTATTTTCTAATCAAATATTTGAACTTCAAACCAATACCTATTATAATGTACCACTAATAACCTGACACTATAATATCCACTAATTCAAAAAATGATGACGTACTGTGATTTTTAATTATATGGAATGTTTTTTAAAAATAATAAAGAAATCAGATGTCACAAAGGAGTTACTAACTCCACAAACTGCTGACTCCAGCACCCTCTAGTGTTGCTAATCTTAAAGCAGAGCCCAGGTTTGTCATGAATTTTCACACTGGAGATGAAGAGCTAACTACAGCACCAGTGCTGCCTGTACTGAGCACCTGCTATGTGTCAAACACTGAACTAGGTACTTTATAATACACTATCAAATGGAATTTCACAGCAAGTACGCAATGTATTATAATTCTTGCTTCACTACTAAGGAGACAGAAGCTCAAGAACTGAGTAATCTGACCAAGGTTATAGTTGGTGGCAGACAGACTGTATCAGCTCTAGCGCCTAAGCCTGCACTTGTAGTCATTGTATTAGAAACAATCCTTGCACTTATGTGATAGATCCCATCTGCCTACTTAAGGAAAACCTGTAGTTAATTCTCCCCTGTTCTCCTGCACTGTCCATTTTGCACTCTCTACTGAACACTATTCAACATATAAACATGTTTTTCTTACATCTCAAAAAAAAGAAAATCTCCTGACTCCATCTTTTCTACTAGCTATTGTACCGTTTCTTTGCTCTCTTTACCAGCCAAACTTGCTGTCTTCAAATCTCCTCTCATTCTCTTACAATGGCTCTATTCAGATTTTGCCCCACCACCACACCAAAACAACTTTGTCAAGTTCACCATTGACGCTGGGTAAATCCGATAGTCACTTTCAGAACCCTTCTTACTTGACCCATCAGCAACAATTCAGAACTAATTTCTCTATCCTTCATTATATACTTTCTTCTCTTGATTTCCAGAAATACCATACAATCTTTCCCCCTCTACTTTACTGGTATGTCCTCAAAGCCCTTAGCTGATTTCTCTTCCCCCTATTCTCCCCCAACTTTTATTACTGCCCCCAGGGCTCAGTCCTTAGTGCTCTTCTATTTCTACATACTCTTCCCTGGTAATTGCATCCAGTCTCATAGCTTTATATACTATGTGCATGCCAATGGCTGCAAAATTTGTATCTCTACCCAGACCTCTCTCCTGACTGAACTCCAGATTGATATATCCAACTGGCTAGTCGGTATCTCTATTTGGATGTCTTACAGACACTGCAAAACAAACACGTCCTAAACTGTACTCTGATTTTCCCCTCCAAACCTCCTCCTATCATCCTTTCCACACTGATCTCATTAGTTATATCTTTGAAATCCACAGCCCTAGCACAGTGCCCTACATATGGCAAATGCTCATTAATGTTCGTTAAACTGATTGGAGCACATATTGAATATCTTAAAATACACAATTTACCTACCCTGTGTTGAAAAAAAGATGGATCAAGGTATTTGTCAAATCTATCTTCAAATTTTACATCTGATTTTTTCCATTTTACCTGAAAAAAAGTTTTCATTTGAAAATCAAGGCCAATAAACAAATTAATAATCTGATAACAAAACTCTGAGCAAAATTTGAAATGATTTACACTTAGAATAAGAAATTACAGAAATGGTAGAAAATTACTACCAATTTCAGAAGTTGAAAGATATGATAAAATAACCAACTTTCCTCTGTAATAACAACACTTACAACTTTACTTAGAAGAATCATTTCAGTTTTCAAGAATTAACTATTGCTGACTTATATATTCTGACTCAATAAATGTGATAAGAACTCAATTAGACCAATTAAAATAAGAATCTGTATGTCTTTATCTTTAGATTGCAATAGTTATTATAATTATCACATTTCTTCATTACTTCAGTTGTGCAAATATGATTTGCACTAGGAACATACGTACAAAGATTGAAAAACTTTCAAAATTGGCTACTACCCATTGACTCATTCCAGTTACCAGAAAAAAAAAAAATGGCAAAGAGAGAAGCTACCTACATCAGATTTCTCTTCTTTACACTATTTTTAATTGTAATGGAAGAGAATTAACTTGACAGTCACAAAGGACTCTGACAAGCTCTTACTCTGCAGGAACATTTTATTCCAATTGATAGAGCAAAAATGGTAAACTATACCCATCCAGTACTTTTCAATACAACATCATCTCTATCTGAAACAGTAAAAGGGAAAGAAAACAAGGAACACTGTGATCTCAATTGTAACCATAAAAATACATGACTAGGTTCATTAGCTGCCCAGTTACAATAGTAAACTTTACTATAGCAAATGGTAGGTACTGCAAATGCATAATTGGTATCTACTTCTACAGACCTGAAACAAATCTCCTTGCTTTTAAGAGGCTTACTTACATACATTGAGGAAATAGTTTTAATAATATTTCTTGTCATCCAATTTCAAGCTCTATTTTCATTTACTAAAATTGAAAAATGCACTTAATTTTTTATATTAGGTCACAAACCCTTCTTCCCTATATCAAATTATTTTAATACTTACTGAATATGACATCTGGATTTTAGTATTGGGAACCAATTTCACTTTTCCTTCACTAGTTAGATTAACATCAACAATTCGATTACCATTAAACCCTATTTCAAGTTTTTTGTAGGTCCAAAGATAGTAATCTTCTCCATTTTCATCTGCTTCACCAACAATACCTACAAAAGAAATAACACGTTATACAAGGTAATTTCACTTAATATTTAAAATACGTTAGAACCAAAATATCATAAAATGTTTTTATAAAAAAGCAATATTATCATTATTCCTCATAGTTAGAATAAGGCAAAATTGCAGGCTGGACTTCCACTCTTTGTTAACTACGTGGCTAACACAAACCATGAACACAACATGGTAAAAAAAAAAAAAAGTGATATATAACCTATCAATATAACTATCACTAATTTGATTCTTGAAGTTCATTAGTAGCACCTTCATTATAATAATTATCACCTTATCTGTGTCTACCCACAACAGTTCAAAATCTCAGAAAATTTAGTCAAACTAAAATTAAAACTAAGGTCTCCACAGGCCCAGTCCAGTACTTTCTCTAATAACCTGATTTACCCATTCTGAATAAGCTGTGCATATGTGTATATGAGTACCAGAACTTAAAATGCCTCTTTTTTTATAGCTCAAGTTCTGGACTACATTAAAATGAAAGATGACCTGGAACCATAAAACTCCTAGAAGAAAACAAAGGCAGTAAACTTTCTGACATCAGTCTTAGCAATATTTTTTTGAATATGTCTCCTCAGGCAAGGGCAGCAAAAGCAAAAATAAACAAATAGGACTACACCAAATTAAAAAGCTTTTGCACAGCAAAGGAAACCATCAACAAATTGAAAAGAGGAAAAGATATGTGCAAATGGTTTATCCAATAAAGGATTAATATCCAAAGTATATAAAGAACTCATACAACCAGATATCAAAAAAAAAAAAAAAATCCAACTTAAAAATGGGCAGAATATAAGGTGACAGGAGAAGATTTGACTTTGGGTGGTGGGCCCAAGGTGCAATATGCACATCTTGTGACATAGAAACCCATACCTGAAACCCATACCTGTATGTTCATGTTGACCAATGATACCCCAATCACTTTAATAAATAAATTTAAAAATTACCTAAAGGGTAGAAGACCTGAACAGACATTTTTCCAAAGAAGACATACAGATGACCAACAGGCACATGAAAAGATGCTCAACATCACTAATCAGCAGGGAAATGCACATCAAAACCATGATATACCACCTCACACCTGTCAGACTGGCTATTATCAAAATGGCATAAAATAAGTGTTGGTTAGGATATAAAGAAAAAGGAACCCTCAGACACTGTTGGAGGGCATATAAACTGGTGCAATCACTAGGAACTTCATGCTGTTCCTCAAAAAATTAATAAAAATAGAACTACAATACCACCCAGCAATTCCACTGTGGGGTATTTATTTAAAGAAAACAAAAACACGAATTCAGCATCACCAATTCAGCACCCCTATGTTCACTGCAGCATTATTTACAATAGCCAAAATACGGAAACACCCTAAGTATCCAATGATAGATGAATGGATAAAGAAGATGTGGTACATATATACAATGGAATACTACTCAGCCATATAAAATAATGAAATCTTACTATTTGCCACAACATAAATGGACCTAGAGAGTATTATGCTTAATGAAATAAGTCAGACAGAGAAAGACAAATACTATATGACTTCACTTATATGCGGAATCTAAAAAACAAGACAAATGAACAAATAAAACAAAACAAAAACAGACTCAGATACATAGAACAAACTGGTGGTTGCCAGAGGGACAGGAGAAGGGAACATAGGCAATATACATGAAAGGATTAAAGGGTATAAACTTCTAGTTATAAAATAAATAAGTCATGGGAAAGAAACAAACAGCATAGAGAATATAGTCAATAATCTATATATATAAAAGCCAAGCGACCGGAACGATTAGTCACTATGACACACACTGCGGCCAGCCAACTGGCCGTCAGAGGTGGGGCCAGCTGGCCAACCTCCTGTGGCCCCTCCCCCCCAGCCAGCCTGGCTCCGATAGGGCTCTCCCCCTTCACAGGTGGGGCCGGCCAACCTCCCGCCGCCTCCCCCCCAACCTCCCCCGCACCCCACCGCTGGCCCGGCCCCCAATCGGCTCCAATCAGGGCTGGCCGACCGGACCCCACCCGGGCACGAATTCATGCACCAGGCCTCTAGTATTGTAATAATTCTATATGGTGACAAAAGATAACTAGATCATGGTGATCACTGCATACTGTATATAAATATTGAATTGCTATGTTGTACACCTGAAATGAATATAATAAGTCAATTATACTTCAAATAGTGCCCTGGTGCACGGATTCGGGCACATGAAAAGGAAATTAATTAGAAGGTGGCCGGTGAGGTGGGACTGGGTGAGATGGGCTGGACATGCCCTGGAGCCAACCTCCCGCAGTCCCTCCCTGGCCGGCCGAACCTGGGGCTGTGCTGTGGCTACAAGGGCATCTGCAGAGTGAGCAGGGTCCCTCCAGCCTGGCCTGCGGGGACTGGTCCAAAACCGGCTCTTCGACATCCCCCGAGGGGTCCTGGATTGCGAGAGGGTGGCTCTCGGGTGACGCATCACGGAATCGGGCTCCCTCCTCTCTGGTTCCAGGGTGCATCACCCAAGAACTGCCGCTGCCAAGTCACTGCAGCTCGGCAGCTCCTGCATTGAGCAGACGTCTGCCCCCTGGTGGTCAGTGTGTGTCATACCTACCGGCCGGTCAGACAGTCGCTTAGCCTTTTATATATATACTAGAGGCCCGGTGCACAAAAATTTGTGCACTGGGGGGGGTTGGGGGGGAGTCACCTCAGCCCGGCCTACGCCCATTTGCAGTCCAGGACCCCTTGGGGGATGTCCACCTGTCGACTTAGGCCCACTCCCCAGGGGATCAGGCCTAAGCTTGCAGTCAGACATCCTTCTGGCAGCCAGGGATCCCTCGGGGGATGTCCAACTAAAGGCTTAGGCCCCCAAGGGAGCTGTGATGAGGAAGCTGGGATGACAGAGGAGCCACACTATCCCGCCCCACCGCCCTGGGTCAGGTCACACATGGGATGCCCGAGCGGGCCGACGGATCGCTGCTGCCCCGCCCGGCCGCCCCAGGTCGAGTCGCACATAGACGCCCAGGTGGGCCAGGTTGCAGATAGCAGGCCCAGATGGCGGCAGGGCAGGCAGGATGACGCTGTCCTGCCCCACCACCCCGGGTGGCAAATAGCAGGCCCGGATGGCGGCAGGGGAGGCGGGATGGCACTGACCCGCCCTGCCTGCAGTATGCAGGCCTGGATGGCGGCGGGGCAGGTGGGATGGTGCTGACGCGCCCTGCCAGCAGTATGCAAATTAGCCGCTATCTTTGTTGGTGGTTAATTTGCATATTGTGCTGATTAGCCCATGGGAGGCGTAGCGAAGGTATGGTCAATTACCATGTCTGTCTATTATTAGATAGGATAGATATATAGATATATAGATAGATTAAAAAAATGAAAGAAGTGTTGAAGATAAATGGTAATGAGGCAATAGGTTTAAAATGATCACTTTGAAAACAACTAGGATATTGGAAGAGTTAGACCTAAACAGTGTGAGGGCAGTTAAGTGGTAGATGAAGATCTATCTCTTGTGCCCATATACTACTATCAGCTATTTATCCAATATTCCCTACCCAAGCCTATATACTTCCCAGGAGCCTTATGCTTAAAGTTAATCCTTAAGGCCTCTCCTCTATGATCAATGCATTTCATGAAAGTATTATGGGGAGGGAGGGGAAAGGGGGAGATTATTTCTTAAAGGATTATTTTTATTAACTAAAGTTGCTCTAATTGGTAAATATTTAAGTAATACAGTTTTGTTTTGTTTGGGGTTGTAGAGAGTTAATAAAATCCTAATAATTTCATCAAGGTTTGTTTATCTATCTACTCTGGGGGTAGAGATACAATTACAGCAAGTAAAAAGCTATTCTCAAGGGGGCTTTTAAAAGAGTTTCAAACCTTTACCCCAAGAAAAGCCAGATAAAAAATTATTTTCTGAGAAGAATTCACATGGTTCAGACATTCTAGGACACCCAAAAGAATCTCCCCTAAATATGGCAGACCCTGGAATCCCAGGGCTAAAGAAGATTTAAGACAAGAAAGTATAGTTGCCATATTATAAGGAGGCCCACAGAAATAACTGGAAGAAACCTAGGGTTCCAGATAAGAAACTCATAAGCAATGGAGAAGACCAGCAGAGGAGCCTGGTATCTCACCAAAAAAAGGAAATCCAAACTAATGGGTTCTCCTGAACTAGAGGCTCAGAAATCATTAGCAAAATTTCAATGTCTTCCTGATACCCTCAGAACTGATCACAGAAATGTCTGTTTTAATGTAATACTAATTACAGTCATTTATATGAAATGCTTGCTATTTATACCTAATTAACATGCAACACAGTAACGATGATGCATACAATTATATCCTAAGATTAACTTTCGTGTAAATTTCATCTTAGTACCACACTGAACTCTGATCTTATATATGTGCAGTCTTTCAGTTTGCTGCTCATGAATATAGTAGTCTGCTAACAATTTTAAGAATCAGAGTATTAATTTTACATAGAAACAGGTGTTCCAATTCTATCACCACCACCATCCAGAAAAGGCTAACACAAAGACCACTAACAAAAAAATGTGACCAAACATGCTAGCTATGATAGCTGGCTGTGCTTCGCAGTTTAAATAACTTAACAAGTCTAACACAAACAATGTTTGGATTATGCCATAGCTCTTCTCCATTAATAGAGATAAACAAACTAAACAAAAAAATTAAACAGAAAAAAAGCTAAAACAAAAAAATTTTAAACATATAGTTTTGTAAAATAACATAGGAACTAGCAAAACAAGTCATTCAGGAACCTATCATATCTAAAACCCATACTACCACAGCTCCACATGAAACAAAACCAGAATAAATTTTCAAAGTCCTATTTAGTTCCTTTGATTGCATTTGGCAGTGCAAGTCAAAATAAGATGTGAGAAAAATGGGAGGAGGGGAAATATTTTGGATTGTTCAAAGCAACTTTTAATCCCTTGAATATGAAAAGTTATACTGCATAAAAATTACATATTGAGCCCTAACCAGTTTGGCTCAGTGGATAGAGCGTCGGCCTGCGGACTGAAGGGTCCCAGGTTTGATTCCGGTCAGGGGCATGTACCTTGGTTGTGGACCCATCCCTAGCAGGAGGTGTGCAGGAGGCAGCTGATCAATGTTTCTCTCTCATCGATGTTTCTAACTCTCTATCCCTCTCCCTTCCTCTCTGTAAAAAATCAATAAAAAAAGATATTTAAAAAAAAAACTACATATTGAGGGAGTTTCACTTAAGGTTTGGCAATGTCAAAACCCTTCAAGTAACAGGGGACCATAAAATTGCTATTAAAATTATGCTATGGAAAACAGTGAAAACACATTTACTGATTTAGTTTATAATCACCTTAACAGAGTCATTAACATAAATGTTGATTATGCAAATATTCTCAAACTTTAAATATAACATACAATACTCACCCCATATCGGTAAGTCATCTATGTACATCTGGTACCAGTAGTGATTTTTGATAGCATACACAAATGCATCTCTCTTTTCTTTATCTAAGTCAATTTCACAGTAAGTGGCTGGCATCACATCATCTGCATAAAATAAAAATTGCAAATTAACACACTGGTTTGCAAAATAGTTACAGAAAAAAATAACAAGAAAAAATACAACTGGAGGTGCAACGTTGACAAGACTCCAAGGAACCGCCAACTCTCAGGGAATAACACCTGGCCAGTTCTTGTTCTTTTCATCTAAAAGTGCTTAGTCTGAAGGGAAAATAAATCCCACTTTGATAGCCCATGAAAACTGACCCCCTCTATCTAAAGAAAGAAGAAAGGCTACGACAGCTGAATGAGTCTCTTCTTCAGTAAATAAGGGTAAGGTTTTCAAAAACTGATGAAATCTGTCCATCATAGCAAAGTAGGATTCAGGGTTTTTGCCTATTTTCTCTTTCTGATTCCACTTTAATAAATTAGAAATGTGCGTCAAATGGAGAAAGTATGTAATAAACACAGTACTGAGTTTCTCGAAGATCACACATTCTAGTCTGTTTTCTCCTTACACAAGCCTCAGGGCAGGTTCACGATATTTCATAAAACTATAGGCTATGACTGTGGTTTAAATTTATAACTTAATTTTATAATTAAGCCCCAAGGAATGTAATGGGGGGGGGGGAAGAATGCAAACATGTATACCTATTTTCAACAACAAAAAATATTCTAAAAACAAGAATAAAATTTAACGAATTAAAATAAAATATTATCTTTAAAATATCTCATTTCACATCATCCAAAAGTGCTAAAAATAACAGGAGTCAGTTGCTGTTCATTTTACACATGTAGGCAATGAAGTCATATTGGAATAAACAACTTTACTGAAACCAATACAGTAAAAGAAATAGGATTAAAATTCAAAGCTCCTGATTACAAGATCCATGCTCTATTCAAAAATCAAGACACCTAATCAAAGATCCTACAAAAATTCAACTTTTCAAGCTTCTGCTTATCAGATTAAAAATGTCTATCAGAAAATACCTCTCTGATAAACTTTACAGAGGAAAATAAAAAGTATAAACGCACTCAAAAGACCCGATAAAATAGATACTTGAAAAATAAATAAGGAGGATCTTTTCCAATTTTAAAATGTTTTTTACTTCAAATTTAAAGCCACACTATCCTATAAGTATTGAGAGTATAAATTAATACAGCACTTTTAAATACATTCTAAGCCAATGATACAAGTTTGAAATTAAGGATTTACACAAAATATTTAAGTATCCATACACACCCCATTACATCCCCACATCTCAGAAATTACTCCAATATGAATCTATGAAGGTTTTCCCCAACCACATATGTCCAATTAGTCACTAGAGGGTTTACTAGAAAACACTTTTGAGAAATATGCTAGGAAAATATAAAGTTATTAACAATTATTTATTTTACTTTATAACATTCAAAATAAATCTTTGTTATGGAGGGGAGTCTATGGAGGGAAAAGGGGGACATCTATTTCCAACAATAAATATAAATTTACTAGTAAATAAATAAATCTTTGTTAGTTTTCCTAAATGCAATACACTTAAGTTATAGGTTAAAACATTTCTTAGAGTCTAGAGCAGTGGTACTCAACTAAGGGCTATTAGCAACCTCTGAAGACTTTTTGGTTGTCACAACTGGTAGTGCTGCTGGCATCTAGTGGGTAAAGCAAGAGACACTTCTACAATGTACAGGACAGCCCCCCGACATAAAGACTTATCCAGCCGTAACATCAATAGTTCCAAAGCTGAGAAACCCTGGTCTACAATATAACTTCTATTAGAAGGACTATTAAGGTGTACTTACCGACACAGAACCTAGCGAGAGAACTTAATTCCAATTCAACGCGTCAGAACCTAGGGACA